AATTGTTAAATGTTTCTCTCCCAGGAGAAGAAGAATGGCATCGAGCTCTTCGTGTCCTCTGATAGGCCGGGAGTCTCCGAGCCCCTACCTGCTGAAGAGGTCATCCAATCACTGAACATCAGGGTCCTCCATCGACACCTGGGACACTTCGGCATCACCGAGGTCTCCACCGAGGTGTGTGTGTGCTCCGTTTCCTAGGTTACAGCAGCTCGTTAGTCACCGTGGAGACAGACGGAGGATAGATGGGGTTTATTAGAGCGCTGAGTGCTGCTACTGAAACTTTAATGCAGCTGTTAAAGTCCGATCAATCAGGCGGCGCCGTTATATTTTATATTTTTTAATCACTCTTACTGCCACAGAGAGAAGTGACCGCTCCTCTGTGGTAATATTATTAAAGCAACACATCAGAAACTCCCCGTAGGAGCTTTAAACACATAATATGTAATAAAAACAACAGTAACAATTGAGTTGTGTGTGGCGGTGAAGCAGCAAGGCATCATGGGAATTGTAGTCTTCAGCTTCTTCTGGTTAAGAGCATCTTCTAAAATAAATATGTGTAAACTCTCTCCTGTAGAAGAACGTGCTGCAGGGCGAGCAGCGGGATCACGTTTGGAGCCCAGAGGGTTTCTACGCCGTCGTCCTCTTCTTCACCGTCTTCGTCATCGTCATCACCTGCTTGATGGTAAAACTTAACATTTTTTGTTGCCATACATATTAAGATACAAAGCATTTAGTATTTCATCTTTGTCAATTTAATTCATATACATTCTTTACATGTTTTTCGTTACATTTGCTTAATTTTGAAATATAATCTGTGTTTGTACATCTGTGCTTTACCTCAATAAAGTTGTTTTAATATTATTTTGTATTTGATAATAATGAGCATTAACAATGTGTAATCTTCAAATAGAAGATTTACATAAAAGAAATGAATTAAAAACATAATTAACATTTAATAAAAACACATTATATAAACATATTAAATGAAACAATACATATCAATACATATATTAGAAATTATATTTAAATATTAATTGATTATACTATTCATTATATTTTTACTATTTTAGTTGCATTGTGACATTTAATCCACAAGAGGGAGCTGCTGCACAGAGAAACCAGATGTTTCAGTTAATATAATCTGTTTTATCTCTTAGACCTGAAAATAAAGGTCCTTATTTAATTAAAATTAATATAATTAAAATATATTTGTATATGTATGTGTGCTTAACTGTTTGTCCTTAATTTAGAAAATAAATTAAATAAATTATTGCAGTTTTCTCTGCTGTTTGTTCTGCAGGTTTTGTTCCGACTGAAGGAGAAGGTCCAGGTTTGTGACAGACAGCTGAAAGCCCCGCCTCTTGACCTCCACCTGACACCCACCGTCCAATCAGACTCCGCCCAGAAGTCAAAGGGTGCCAAGGTTGGCAACACACACCAAAACCCTTCATAAACACACACATAAAGCACAATAAAGACTAAATAATGATACTTAATGTCCTTCAGGTTGTGTCGTCAGGAAGCATGGTACAAGCTGAGCTCCCGCCAATTGTAGCCAAGCCCATTCGTCCGCAGCAGCCAATCACAGCCTGCCGTCGCCTCGCTCCTCCTGTCCCTCTGCCCAGGTACGTCAGCTGACTAAACGTCATCACCTTTAGCATAGCGGTGGTGACGTGAAGTCATGTGACCGTGCTGTAGTTCCTTTATAGCCCAACATTAGCCGCCTTTAGCTTAGCGCTGGTGACGGGAAGTCATGTGACCGTGCTGTAGTTCCTTTATAGCCCAACATTAGCCGCCTTTAGCTTAGCGCTGGTGACGGGAAGTCATGTGACCGTGCTGTAGTTCCTTTATAGCCCAACATTAGCCTCCTTTAGCTTAGCGGTGGTGACGTGAAGTCATATGACCGTGCTGTAGTTCCTTTATAGCCCAACATTAGCCGCCTTTAGCTTAGCGCTGGTGACGGGAAGTCATGTGACCGTGCTGTAGTTCCTTTATAGCCCAACATTTGCCTCCTTTAGCTTAGCGGTGGTGACGTGAAGTCATGTGACCGTGCTGTAGTTCCTTTATAGCCCAACATTAGCCGCCTTTAGCTTAGCGGTGGTGACGTGAAGTCATGTGACCGTGATGTAGTTCCTTTATAGCCCAACATTAGCTGCCTTTAGCTTAGCGCTGGTGACGGGAAGTCATGTGACCGTGCTGTAGTTCCTTTATAGCCCAACATTAGCTGCCTTTAGCTTAGCGCTGGTGACGTGAAGTCATGTGACCGTGCTGTAATTCCTTTATAGCCCAACATTAGCCGCCTTTAGCTTAGCGCTGGTGACGGGAAGTCACGTGACCGTGCTGTAGTTCCTTTATAGCCCAACATTAGCCGCCTTTAGCTTAGCGGTGGTGACGTGAAGTCATGTGACCGTGATGTAGTTCCTTTATAGCCCAACATTAGCTGCCTTTAGCTTAGCGCTGGTGACGGGAAGTCATGTGACCGTGCTGTAGTTCCTTTATAGCCCAACATTTGCCTCCTTTAGCTTAGCGGTGGTGACGTGAAGTCATGTGACCGTGCTGTAGTTCCTTTATAGCCCAACATTAGCCGCCTTTAGCTTAGCGGTGGTGACGTGAAGTCATGTGACCGTGATGTAGTTCCTTTATAGCCCAACATTAGCTGCCTTTAGCTTAGCGCTGGTGACGGGAAGTCATGTGACCGTGCTGTAGTTCCTTTATAGCCCAACATTAGCTGCCTTTAGCTTAGCGCTGGTGACGTGAAGTCATGTGACCGTGCTGTAATTCCTTTATAGCCCAACATTAGCCGCCTTTAGCTTAGCGCTGGTGACGGGAAGTCACGTGACCGTGCTGTAGTTCCTTTATAGCCCAACATTAGCCGCCTTTAGCTTAGCGGTGGTGACGTGAAGTCATGTGACCGTGATGTAGTTCCTTTATAGCCCAACATTAGCTGCCTTTAGCTTAGCGCTGGTGACGGGAAGTCATGTGACCGTGCTATAGTTCCTTTATAGCCCAACATTAGCCGCCTTTAGCTTAGCGCTGGTGACGGGAAGTCATGTGACGGTGCTGTAGTTCCTTTATAGCCCAACATTAGCCTCCTTTAGCTTAGCGCTGGTGACGGGAAGTCATGTGACCGTGCTGTAGTTCCTTTATAGCCCAACATTAGCCTCCTTTAGCTTAGCGCTGGTGACGGGAAGTCATGTGACCGTGCTGTAGTTCCTTTATAGCCCAACATTAGCCTCCTTTAGCTTAGCGCTGGTGACGGGAAGTCATGTGACCGTGCTGTAGTTCCTTTATAGCCTAACGAAAGCTTTTTACTTCTTTCTCTTCCTCGTAGCTCCTCCCTTGTGCCAGTCTTCAGCAGCTTTGACCACACCCCCCTCGTCAGCGTTGCCCCGGTGACAGCCAATCACGAGCTAAAGCCGTGCCCCTCCCCCTTCAGGATGAAACCTGCCGCCGGACTGCAAGAGAGGTGAGGAGGGCGTCTGGACAATATTTGTTATTATTTAGATCTTCTTTATCCACCTTTTATATTAAAAATAAATCATCCTTTTTAATGCAAGGATTTCATTTTATTTTAAAAACTACATTAATTATATTTAATTTTTTTTTTTAATTAGCAAGACACCTCAGTTTCTCTCCAAGAGCTGTAGAAGAGATGCATGATGGGAAACAAGTTGCATGTATACACAGCAAAGGGCTAAATTAGGGGAATTTTTACCCGTGCTCGATTACAGAAACACACATGAGCCCTCATTGTGTGTGTGTGTGTGTGTGTGTGTGTGTGTGTGTGTGTGTGTGTGTGTTTAGAGTAGTCACCTCTAACCTGCGATTGTTGCAGCAGTCAGGTCTCGAGCTGCGTACGTGCTGAAAAGGAGGCTTCAAAGTGTGTGTGTGTGTGTCCTCATCCTATAGTTCATAAGGATTTATATTGTGATAGTGAAGTACGTCTTCCTCCACACACACAGAGTACACACAGAACACAGAGTACGTGATGTTTATCTGCAGGGAGATTACATTAAAACTCTGTCTCATTTCCTTCGATTCATATCAACTCTACATCACTGTCTGAATCTGATTTATTTTACACCACTCCGCCAACGGCCACAGTTCATCTCAGTACGCGACAATTATTTGAATTTTATTATATATTAATATTATTTTAATATATATATTTTGTTATAGCTATAATTATTTTTTATTTTAACATGATAACTATTTACAATTTATTTTATATATATATTTTTTCTAATTATTCAAATTTGTATTTATTTATTTAACAATGATAAATATTTGAATTTTCATAGATAATATCGACACACTTCAATAGATCTTTATTGTATTGTTCTTTCTTTTTATTTGATGTATTCCTTATTGTTGCAATGATTTAAAATATTCCTTTTATCTGATACCAATAAATAAGTGAATATCTCAAACATCATATATATATATAACAATAAAACACTGTCAGGGAACCTTTTAATGCACGATTAACTGTTCAACCAACTTAAAGGTCCCAAGTCACGGCCATTTCTACTGATCATAGTTCCATCGTTGAGGTCTACTCGAATAGATTTACATTTTTTAAACTCACCTTGGTTTCTCACAGCATCTCTGTATAGTCTGTGTATTCACTCTGTCCTACGCGGCTTGTTGGAGCTCCTGCCCCCCCCCCCCAGTTAGGGTTAGGGTTACAGTGTAATTCATGCTGGTTGCTTAATATCAATTGTTTTGCACCATAAGGGAATGAATTAAAGTACAGGTTTTAAGTGAAACTGGAAGAGTTGTGTTTTTATTATAACTACTTGTCATGTTAACACTAGTTTTGCATCTTTTAGCAGTCACTTATTCTTAATTTACTTATTCTTTGGGGCGGGTGGCGCAGTGGTCTGTGCGTTTGATCATCAGATCAAGGGGGTGTTGGGGAACTCCAGTTCAAAACCCGCTCCCGCCCCACTGCGTCAGGCCGTTGTGTCCTTGGGCAAGACACTTCCCCCAAATTTGCTCCTGTGGGTATTGTCCACAGGAGATGACCATTACATATGATCTGTATGTGTAATGTGTATTTGTAAAGCGCTTTGAGAGTCTTTGATAAAGCGCTATAATAAATATAAGGATTATTATTATTCTTAATGACACAGACCCAGAGCATTCATTCATCCTTCTCTCCCGTTTATTTCTCATGCTTTAACATCGAGACAGCCTCTATGTTTACCATAGAAACATAGAGATATGTTTCCAGCTCGTCTAAAGGGGCTTGTGTTTTGCTCTCTAACGCCATCATCCCATCTTCTCTTGAAGCTTTTCTGTAGGACACAATGTTTTACTAACATGACGTGTGTTTGTCAGGAGTGAAGGTCTGGATGAGTGAGCAGAATGTGGTGCAAAGTGTTTTATGCCAAATCATTAACGCACTGCAGGGAGGATTTAAGCACAATACTTTTCCCACCGCTGAGGCCACACGAGGCCCACGGGGAAATGCAGATAACGGGTCCCAAGGTGGGTCTGCGGACGCAACGCTCTGGGGGCCAAACGGCTCCGTGGCCGTTTCTCAATGTCGAGGATTCTGGCTTCCAAGCCAATATTTCAAGCATGCTACGTCATCGAGTGCCGCCGAAGGACCGTTCCAATCTCCAGCATACTTGGAATTCCACCGAGGCCGCGTCCTTGGTTTTGGGGAAATGTCGAGGCTGCACATGGGTAGACTTCGCGTCCTTAAAATCCCCACAATGCTTTGCGCACGGACCAATTTCAAAAACCCTTGCGGAGAATGGCTGAACCGACGCAGCACACATTTAGATGTAAGTATGTAGTGGCGTAGAACATGTGTCGGTAAATATGTGACTTTGTTACATTTGTGTTCGTGAAAGTAAAGCAAGTTCATAATTAGATAGACATCGTGAGGTATTTATTTTCGGTTCAGTTTATGTTGAAACCGTTAGAGAGAGTGGCACACTTGTTAGCCTGTTCCATTCTTCTTCGTTTTCCGAAGCCATGGCTTGGAAGCATACTTGCTTCGTTTCTGAAGGAAGTGACTTGGAAGTACGCGACTACCAAGCCAGCATCCTCGCGATTGAGAAACGGCCCGTGTCTACGCCCAATACGATCATTTCCTGCTAACGATGACGCAATAGCCCCGCCTCTCCTGCTCACCCCGTGTCACCCGCGTCATTGCTGATGTGTTTCGCCAACAACAACAACAACAACAACAACAACAACAACAGTTTTCCGAGTGTTTCGAGCCAGGTCCCGGTGTCTCGCAGGACAGTGCCTCCAGCAGACGCCCCCGCACGGCAGAGTTTCCGTTAGCCGAAATCTAAAATTCTCCGGTCAAAATGTCGCTTATTGTTTCGGTGTCCTTTGACACGCAGGCAGTCACATCATTAGAACTAGCTAGATCTGATCGATACGGACAGGAGAGAGAGATCAGAGACCAAGAGCCCTGCCTCTCCCCGCCTCTGCTGCTAAATCCACCTCGGAGAATAAACAGAAGGGCAACCATGGCAACCATGCTCGGAAGTCTTCTTCGCTGCTTTTGGTGTATTTTGTGGTGGAGGTACAGCGCCACTTACAGGCCCGGCATGTGTACAACAGCGTCTCCAGCGGGTCGAGCGCTCTCGTGTGGACGGAAGACTTTTTTGATAACGATTTCGGTTCGTTCTCGTGTGGCTCCAGTCACTACATTTCTGTTTTTTAACTAAAGTTTGGGCGTGAGAATCTTAACAAAATAAACCTGAGGTCATTTTTCAAAGTGTCTGCAGCGAGTGTTGCTCCGACAGCTCTCTCCTAACTAAAGCACTTTCATCAGAGACAAGAAAACACCTTTATCTCAGCGTTGAGCACTTTAGCCGTTATCTGCCGCTCGTTACTCCATCCTGCCCGGCAGCCATCTTGTTCTGTTACATCAGCGCTTACAGTGAGGTGTGCAGACTTTAAGGTAGGAAGGAAGATCTCTCAGTGAGAACAGGATGTTTTCTGGGTGTCTGTGAAAGTGTGTGTGTGTGTGTGTGTGTGTGTGTGTGTGTGTGTGATGTTCACTCTGGATGGCAGCCAATCAGCAATCAGACGAATAGGAAGTAAGGGCATCCTGGAGAGGAAGCCGACGACACGTAGCCAGACGAAGAGATCAACACCTCTTATTCTTATTATTTAATTTACTTATAATTAAAAAAAACAAAACAAGACATCCTTTTGATTAGCTTTGATGTAAAATCCACTAGAAAACCTTAAGCATTTATTTTATTTTTATATATTTCGTTTTGTTTTTCTCGAGTTACATTTATTAGAATAATAAATCAATAGCTAAAAAGAAAGCCTTTGGCCGATTTGGATACATTTTTGAGTGGTTTTGGGGGTTATTGAGGAGGTTGAATCCATTTATGACATTTTCAGGATCATAAATATCAGTTTTAACCAATAAACTGGCCATATCTGGACTGATTTTGATGAATTTAGTGTAAAATAAATTGTTTTACGGACTGAAAACGGCCATTTTTGGAGCTCAAAGTGTAATATCCTACAATATCACACACACACACACACACACACACACACACACACACACACACACACACACACACACACACACACACACACACACACACACACACACACACACACACACACACACACACACACACACACACACACACACACACACACAATGGACTGATTTTGGCAAATTTAGTGTAAAATAAATTGTTTTACGGACAGGACAGAAAACGGCCATTTTTGGAGCTCAAAGTGTAATATCCTAATAATGTGTGTCCCCAGACGCGGCTCTAACGTCTCCCTGGTGTTGGACATGTCGGTGCTGGGCTCCGTGGAGCCGCTGAGCGCCGCCCCCCCCGGTGACGCCCCGCGAGGCGGTCGCCAGAGAATACCTGCTGGCGGCCCGACGACCTCTGACCCGACAGCAGCTCCGAGACGTCGTGCAGAACACACACACTCTGCACACTGAATTCGCTGTGAGTAGTCAAGGTGTTCCCTCACCTGTAGTGAGATCTGTATGTGTTATAGTGCATGTAAATGGTCTGCAAAGGCTATGTTGTAGTCTTTAGCGGTTTGTAGTGCTCATAGTGAGGTTTGTACTTGATCACTTGACACATTTTGTCACTTAAATTGACTTATATTTCAGAGTTTTACCCCTTTAACCTAAGACACTCCTCACCACCTGGCTCTGTGTTTGCTATTCAAACTGTGTTAAGAGATAGAACTTTATTTTTGAATCTGTGTTGTTTAAATATTTGTAATTTTTCCCATGCAATGAAAGTCATAATGAGGCATTAAGTCAAGAGCTAAAGTGTTTAAGCTGATTTCCTTTGTGAGAATAATGGCGCGAAAGAACTGTTAAAACAGAAGAGGCACGAAATATGAACCTGAAAATGAGTTTAATAAAGCCTCTTTAAAGTAACAATAACAGCTGATATAAAACAACAATATGCTCTGACGTGAGATTGTCGTACATATGTGTGAGTTCAGGTCCAGAACTTAAAACACGAGGTTATTGCCTACAGTTATAACACACTTTGTTTTTCACATTTCTAACGTTACATTTTCTCATCAGGAAATCCCCATGAATTTTATTGATCCCAAGGAGCTCGATATTCCAAACCACGGGACCAAGAACAGATACAAGACCATACTGCCCAGTGAGTACAGAGAGTGTGTGTGTGTGTGTGTGTGTGTGTGTGTGTTGCTAGGAAACTGCCACCGTCTCAAAACAGTCCTCTTCTCGCTTCCTTTTGAACCTGGAAGTTGTTTTATTACCTGGGAGGGGCTCAAGGTCAAAGGCCAACAACCTCAAGGACGCTCAACATCGCACCTCCCTACACACACACATACACACACACACACACACACACACACACACACACACACACACACACACACTGGAACAATGCATGTCCCTCAGAGAACAGTTTGTTCTCACACTGTAAGCCAAACAGCCTGATTAAGACATTAGGTAACACACACACACACACACACCACCCACACACACACACACACACACACCCACACACACACACACACACACACACCCCCACCCACCCACACACCACACACCACACACCCACACACACACACACACACACACACACACACACACACCCCCACCCACCCACACACACACACACACACACCCACACCCACACCCACACACCCACACACACACACCACACACACACACACACACACACACACACACACACACACACTGATGTTTTGTAGAGGGGCGGGTTATCAATACAACAATAAGTAAGGGGGGGGTTCCTTCCTTCCTTCCGGCCAATCAAGACTTAGGAATGCTCACCTAGAGCTGCTGTCAATCAAACTACTTCCTGTGTTTCTGAGTCGTCCTTTTCTTTATCAAGTTTATATTCTCCAACTGTAAATGTAATCTTTTGATAATTTCATTTACTTTAGTTTAGAAGGATTTAATCTAATTTATTTTTACATATATTTAGAATAATTATTTGATATACTTTTAGTTTTGGAGGATTAAACGTAAATGGATTATACATTAGATTAGATTTAAAAAAATGCAATTATTTGATTTAATATAAAAAGAAATGCCCATCATGTTTTAAGGGCTTGGAACCAATAGATTCAACTCAACTCAACTCAACGTAGATTTAGTTTGAACTACATTTTGTCCCATTGTCTTCGCTGTGTTTCCAGACCCTCACTCCAGAGTCACCCTGAAGGCCAAGAGCTGCAACGACCCGCTGAGCTCCTACATCAACGCCAACTACATACGGGTGGGTAACAGCAGCTCTACTTTCTTTGCACCTTTTTCAAAACATTTCCGGATATTTTACTCATGTTTTTACTAATTTCTTGCGATTCTTTAACATTTTCCAGATATTTTACCAATATTTTTTGCTCCTTTTCTGGACATTTTAATCAGTTTTTTCTGACAGTTTTTTCAGATTTTACTACGTATTTTTTACGTGTTTTATAGGCACTTTTCCAACATTTATTTTTAATATATTTTGTCGATCATTAATAACATTTCCCCCCTTTTTTAAAGATTTTTTTTTAAAAGAATTTTGCTATATTATTTACACATTTTCATTTTACAGTCATATTTCAGACTTTTTTCACACGTTCTTTAGCATTTCTTGCACAAAGCTAAGATACATGTAATAAAAAAAAAAGTGCAATCTCCATCCGAGATTTAGTGAAGTCAAAGTATAAAGTGTCATGAATCGAAATACTCAAGTAAAGTACCTCAAACACACACACCATGTATACATCACTTCAGGGGAAATTACATTGACTTTCATGCATTTCCTGGAGACTTATCCTAACCCTAACCAACACATGCCTAACCCTAACCCTTACCCTAACCCTTAACCTAACCCTTATCCTAACCCTAACCCTAACCCTAACCCTAACCCTTACCCTAACCCTTAACCTAACCCTTATCCTAACCCTTACCCTAACCCTAACCCTAACCCTAACCCTTACCCTAACCCTTAACCTAACCCTTAACCTAACCCTTATCCTAACCAAGTCTTCACCCTAAAATTAATGATGCCCCTTATGGGGACCTCCAATTTGTCCCCATAAGGGAGGCGAGTCCCCACACGTGACTGTGTAAACAGATTTAGGTCCCCACAAGTATAGTAATGCTAGGCCACACACACACACACGCACACACACACACACACACATACACACACACACACACACACACACACACACATACACAGTGAAAGTCTCGGTACAATGGACTCTCTTCCTGTCAGGAAGCTGCGCTGAAACATTTACAACCCTGTGTTTAAACTCTGAGGGAAATATTTATAACATTTCACACATTTTCTGGACATTTAATCAGTTTGTCCCAATTTTTCATGCATTTTCCAGATATTTTACTCATATTTTTAAATGTTATAACAATTTGTTGTGATATGTTTCAGACATCTTCTGTGTTTCAAAGTTCTCTATGAATACATGCATTATTTGTATTAGTTATTAAAAAACATGCACCGATTAATGTGTGTTTTAGCTACTGTTATAAAAAAGTGATAAAAGATTATCAATGATTTCTCTACATTACATTACATTACATTTAGCTGACGCTTTTATCCAAAGTGACTTACAATAAGTGCGTTCGACCAACAAAATACAAACTTGAAGAAAACAGAATCATATAAGTACATCAGGTTTCATAGAGCCAAACATTTCAAGTGCTACTCAACTGGCTTTAGATAAGCCAGTCCTTTATTAGTATATAAGTGCTTTGTTAATAGTTCTAACGCTCGAAGTGGAGTCGAAAGAGATGAGTTTTCAGTCTGCGCCGGAAGGTGTGTAAGCTCTCTGCCGTCCTGATGTCAATGGGGAGCTCATTCCACCATCTTGGAGCCAGGACAGCAAACCCACGTGTTTTTGCTGATGGGAACTTGGGTCCCCCTCGCAGCGAGGGTGCAGCGAGCTGTTTGGCTGATGCAGAGCGGAGTGCACGTGCTGGGGTGTACGGTTTAACCATGTCCTGGATGTAGGAAGGGCCAGATCCATTCGCAGCATGGTAAGCAAGTACCAGTGTCTTGAAGTGGATTCTAGCAGTTACCGGAAGCCAGTGAAGGGAGCGGAGGAGCGGAGTGGTGTGGGAAAATTTAGGAAGGTTGAAGACCAGACGAGCCGCTGCATTCTGGGTGAGCTGCAGAGGTCGGATGGCACATGCAGGTAGACCAGCCAGGAGGGAGTTGCAGTAGTCTAGGCGTGAGATGACGAGAGCCTGGACCAGAACCTGAGTCGCTTCTGAGTCAGCTGGGGACGTATCTTCCTGATGTTGTAAAGCGTGTATCTGCAGCAACAGGGTTGTAGCAGCGATGTTTGCAGTGAAGGACAGTTTGTTATCTAGGGTCACACCCAGATTCCTTGCAGTCTGAGTCTGGGAAACAATAGAGGTGCCGATGTTGATTGTTAGGTCAAGAGTGGGACAATCTTTTCCCGGGAGGAAGAGCAGCTCAGTCTTGTCAAGGTTGAGCTTGAGGTGATGAGCAGACATCCACTGAGAGATGTCAGCTAGACAAGCAGAGATGCGTGCGACGACCTGGGTCTCTGAGCGGGGGAAGGACAGAATTAATTGGGTGTCGTCAGCGTAGCAGTGGTAAGAAAAACCATGCGGGCTAATGACTGATCCGAGCGAGTTTGTGTACAGGGAGAAGAGGAGGGGACCAAGAACAGAGCCCTGAGGGACCCCTGTAGTTAATTGACAAGGGTCGGACTCAGACCCTCTCCAAGTCACCCTGTAGGTACGGTCTTTCAGGTATGAGGTGAGGAGGGAAAGTGCAGAGCCTGAAACTCCAAGTTTTTGGAGAGTGCGAAGGAGGATCTGATGATTCACCGTGTCGAATGCAGCAGACAGGTCCAACAGGATGATGACAGAGGAGAGGGATGCAGTTTTAGCAGTGTGCAGTTCCTCCGTGACAGCAATGAGAGCAGTTTCTGTGGAGTGACCTGCCTTGAAACCAGACTGGTGCGGATCCAGAAGGTTGTTCTGATTGAGATAACAGGAGAGTTGTTTAAAGACAGCGCGTTCAAGTGATTTAGACAGGAACGGGAGGAGAGAGACAGGCCTGTAGTTTATAACATCAGACGGGTTGAGAGTGGGTTTCTTTAGGAGAGGGTTTACTCTTGCCTCCTTGAGACTGTTTGGAAAGTGACCAGAAGTTAGAGAAGTATTGATGAAATGGGTGAGAAATGGTAGAATATCAGGAGCGATAGTCTGAAGGAGGTTTGAAGGGATAGGGTCCAGAGGACAGGTGGTAGGGCGGGCAGAGGTAATGAGGGTAAGAACCTCACTTGGAGAGAGAGGGGAAAAGGAGGTAAGTGTGTTGGTGGAAGGAGGGTCTGGTGACCCAGCGGTGAGTAAAGGTGAGTCAGAAAAAGAAGAGCGAATATCATCAACCTTTTTTTCAAAGTGGGTAACAAAGTCGCTTGACAGAAGTGAGGAGGGGGGAGGAGCTTTGGGAGTAGTGTTAATTTAGTTGACTAAAACTATGACGAAATATGTTCGTCAACGACCTTTTTTTCAATGACTAAAACGAGACGATGACGAGACGGCACCAACGTCAGTAAACAATAACTGTAACGAAATCAACATGCAATATCGTTGACGAAAAATGACGAGACGAAAATGTATTTTAATAAATCAAAACTATGCCAAAATCTCTCTTTACTTTCGTTGTCGAAAAATGACGAGACGAAATATTATCAATGATAACGTTACATCTCTGATAGTCATTTTTTCTCCCAGCACTTCCATTTCCGGTGCTGCGGCTGCGCACCAGTTAGTTGTGTCTGTTCTAGAGGTAGGGAGGCTGTGGCTCAGTGGGTAGTGGGCTGGACTTCAAATCAGGGGGTCACAGGTTCAAACCCCACTGCAGTCAGCATGTTGTTGTGTCCCTGGGCAAGACGCTTCACCGTGGGGATTGCCCATAGTACTGAATGTATGTAAGTCGCTTTGGATAAAAGCGTCTAACAAGTGACCTGTAATGTAATGTTCTACTCGCGGCACTTTTAAATTGTACCGGATGATCTATGAACAGAAGGAAGACTCGGATCCATGCTCGGATGTAACGAACAGAAAGGGAAATGGCTAATAGAGGGCTTGGGCGAAATAAACGCGATGATCTCTGGGCCCATTTTGTGTACAATGAGGCGGAGAAAAAAACTCAATGCATTGCTTTAGATTCAGAAGGGAAGCAATGTGGCCATAAATCCGTGGGTAAAAACACCACAAACCTCAAGAGGCACATCAAGACTCACCACAAAGCAATTGAGGTAAGTTAACAAAACGTTAGGTTGTTTTTTTGTCAGCTATATGGTGTTACATTAGGTAGGCTGTGTTTTATGCTATAACGTTAGCTAACGGGTAGGCTGTGTTTTATGCTATAACGTTAGCTAACGGGTAGGCTGTGTTTTATGCTATAACGTTAGCTAACGGGTAGGCTGTGTTGTATGCTATAACGTTGGCTAACGTTAGCCAAACCAAATGCTAGCAGCAAATTGTTTTGAAACTTGTGAAGGAGCTTAAAAAGGGGCGGAAAGGTACTTTACCATAGGGTTGAGTTGGTCTCTGACACAACGTTAGATGATGGGCTAACGTTACTAGTAACTGTTAACGTTATTTCACAACAACGGCACATTGCTTTCATTACATTTGATTTGTCATATGATAATATGTTATAACTATTAATTGCCTACAAAATCATACCTCACAAGGTGTCTGCAGTAATATGCCTGCATAATCTGCATACATACTTACTTTGTGAGTATAATACCACCTAGTTTTGATTGTGTAGAGTTTTCATTTGACAGATACTTTGTTTGCGTTAAGTTAAAATTATAGCAATGATTTACTGGATTTCCTGATGTTGCATCAGTCCTGACTCCTGATATCATTGTTTGTATTCCTGTCCTAGATTCCAGACAGACGTGCTGCAGTAAAGGAACCACCCAGGAAAGAGGAGAGGCCAGCTATAACAGGTGCATTCCTGACTTACACAAAGTACAAACAAGAATCGCAGGATCAACGCCACAAAGAGGAGGCCATAGCTGAATGGATTGGCCGGACAGCCCTCCCACCACGGACAGTGGAAGACGTGGGTTTCATCAAGATGATGGAAACAATTGATAAAAGACTCACCGTGCCGAAAAAAACTAAGATCACAAACCTGGTGGAAAAAATGCACCTGGCCGAAAAGGAGAAATTCAAGCACAACTATTATATAATAGCATATAACTATTGGCTTAGATATATGGACTAAAAAGGGGCTCACAGCATATTTTCTTGCAGTCAGTGCTTGTTATTTTAGCCCCAAGGATAATAAGGCTGAACACATACTCCTGAACCTAAAGCAAATGGTTCACCCGCACACTGCTCAGGCTATCGCTGCTCTTGTGGAGGAGAGTAAAGAAGAATGGGGGATCCCAAAAGAAAAGATTCTCACCATTATTACGGACAATGGAAGCAACATGGTTGCTGCTTTTCATTGCAACGCTGAAGAGGACTCCAGTTCTGAAGAGGAAAATCTCCAGGATAGTGATGAGGAGGGAGAAGAAGACGAAAGGTCAGTCTGCAGTGTGCATAATGCTTATACATGTGACGTGTGTGCCAAACAGAAAACCCAATGCAGTCTTCCCACATACTGTGACTATTCACCGTTTTAGATATTTCTCCTATAATGTGATCTGCAATCAGCATTTTTAACATTCCATGTGGTGATAAATGATGTGCTAAAATATCAAATTAATTCTTCATGGATTGGGTAATATGAAAAGTCTGTGTATTCTGTGTTCCAATTTTCATTAGGTACGAAACCTTGGAGAGAAGGACCCCCTGCGTGGTCCATACCCTCCAGCTTGTTGTCAACATGATCCAGAAGGAACTCACAATCAATCGACTGCTGGGAAAAGTCAGGCAACTGGTGAAACTGTTTCAAAAATCATCTGTTGCCACAGAGCGGTTGCTGCAACAGTGTGGACTCATCCTCATCAAAGACTGTCCAACCAGATGGTCCAGTACTTATTTGATTATGTCCTGTGCTCTTGAAGTGAAGGACCATCTTACATCAGTAGCGGACTCCATGAGCTGGGACAGCCTTCTACCCAGTGAGTGGCAGAAGGTAGCCATTCTCAAAGATTTGCTCCTTCCATTTGCAGAACACACAAAGGTGCTTGAAAGTGACACAAATTCCCTATCCCTTGCTGTGCCTGCACTATTGGACTTGAGGAATCACCTGTCTGAGTTCTCCCTAGCGCATGCAAGGAGCTACAAGGACGCAGCTACACTGGCACAGAAGATGAATGCAAATATGGAGCAACGCTTCAGCTGCTTCTTGGATGTCATGGCCAACAAGTTCTCTCCCCTTGCTGCAGCTGCATGTTTTGTTGACCCTGGTGTATCAGCTGAAGCCATTGTTGAAAACAATGATGAGGGAATTCAGAATCTTCTAAAAGTGGCAGAAGACTACATCACTCGCAGTGTGCCACCAAGACTTCAAGTGGAAGAGCAGGTCAGTGAAAACGAGGAAGAGGAGATTGTGGATACAGTGGCTCCAGAGACGACCCATTGCCCAAAGCGGCCTAGATTTAGGTTTTTCAGCCCCAGTCGTCCATCGAGGCCCAGGACCTCCGAGGCCTCTAGTATCAGGCAGGAGATACAAAAATACAAAGAAGGGCTGTCCCATGCTGCTAACACTGAGGAATCTGGGATGGAGTTTTGGATCTCTCAGAGTAGCACTGTATTTACACTTCTGAAACCTCTGGCCTTGGACCTTCTGGCAATGCCAGCATCACAAGCCTTTGCCGAACGTGTCTTCAGTGTAACCGGTGACCTCACAAGCGGCCGCCGCAACAGAGCAAGAACCACATTGGAAAGAAGTGCTTTTCTCAAGCTAAACCAGGTCTAAATGGTGTGATGGCTAGCAGAGATTGTTATGGTTGTTATGGTCTTTTTTTTTGTTGGTCATTTCATTCATGGCATGTCATTCATTCCTGTCATGTCTTCACCTTTGCAATAAACCAGACTCTTTGGAGGAGCCCCAAAAGAAGCCGTGTAGCAGTGCCAATACTACAATGCCAGTAGTGGTTGCAAATAGTCTGGTTTATTGCAAAGGTGAAGACATGACAGGAATGAATGACATGCCATGAAGCAGAGCAGGTTGTCCTTGCTAACATGTTAGCGCTCTCCCGAGTGTGTGTGCTGGTGGCTGACTTAACCTGTGGTGCACTGATTAACCAATGCCCCACAGGTTTGTAGACCCACCCCAGCCTCTAGCTGAGCCGGGTGAGGCCAATTAAGCCACCAACCCACACACTCCCAAAATAACATTAAATTATTATATATGTTTAATGTTACAAACAGAGTGCAGTCTTTTTCCAAAATGTAGTTGGTACAGGAGTTGTTGGGCTCAGTCTTTATAAAAGTTTTTGTAGCTCACTGGTTCAAAATCCATGTTTTTCAGTTTCAACAACAAAAACAATACAGACGCATACTTTTTATTTGCACCTTTCCATGGTTGTTATTCTAGCCATGCCTTGTTTAAACTTTAATTTATTAAACCTTTTTAATTTATCTATTTTATTTTGCAATTGGTGTGTGTGTGTACACTACCCTGTATTGTTGAGTTGTGTGTGTTATATATTTAAAATAAATATGCAAATCCGAACATGTTCCATGTCTGGATGTATTCCTTAAATTGATACCATCAAACCACTAGACCAGATGCTCTCTGCAAAGCTGCATTCTTAATCATTCAACCTGTGTTTTTCATCAAATAAGGATAGCATATAATCTTATTGTGAAATAAGTTTGACTAAAATGGCAACTTATTGGTTTTGGCTAGATTAGTTGGACTGAAATGTTCAATATAATTTGATGACTAAAAAAGACAAAAAGTAGACTAAAATAGTTTTCTTTGACTAAAATGCTCAGACTTTTAGTCGACTAAATCTTGACTAAAATAGTTACTGTTTTCTTTGACTAAAATTAGACTAAAATGCTCAGACTTTTAGTCGACTAAAACTTGACTAAAATAAGACTAAAATGCTCAGACTTTTAGTCGACTAAATCTTGACTAAAATAATTACTGTTTTCTTGACTAAAAGTAGACTAAAAGGCTCAGACTTTTAGTCGACTAAAACTTGACTAAATTAAAAACAGGATGACAGTGACTAAATATGACTAAAACTAAAAAGGACATTTGACACATGACTACGACTACGACTAAATATAAAAATAGCTGACGAATTTAACACTATTTGGGAGGATCCAGGAGGCAGGAGAAGATGGAAAATAGTTTTTTAGGATTGGAATAGGAAGATTGGATCTTATCTTGAAAGAAAGTGCTTTTTGCCTGAGAGATCGAAGCAGAGAAAGAGGAGAGGAGAGCCTGATAGGTTAGGAGGTCGTCACGGTGTTTGGATTTCCACCGTTTCCGCTCTGCTGCCCGAAGGACGGTTCTATTAGCACGCAGTGCATCATTTAGCCAGGGAGCAGGAGGGGACTGACGAGCCTGCCGAGATGTGAGAGGACAGAGCGAGTCCAGAGAGGATGAGAGAGTAGAGAGGAGAGTTTCTGCAGCAGAGTTTGGAGGTAGTAGTTGGAACGAGTCAGAGGAAGGGAGGGCTGAGAGCACCGATGAGGCAAAGGTAGAGGGGGAGAGGGAGCGAAGGTTACGGCGGACAGGTGCAGGATGGGAAGAGATTAGTTTGTTATGTTTGGAAAGGGATAGAGAGAATGAAATGAAGAAGTGATCGGATGTGTGGAGCGGGTTTACAGAGAAGTTAGAAGTAGTGCAGTTCCTTGAGAATATGAGATCAAGGACATTGCCAGCTTTATGAGTCGGTGGGGACGGAGACAGTGAGAAAGCAAAGGCGGTTAACAGAGATGTTAGTTCGTCTATCTTCCCTGTCTGGAGGTTGAAGTCTCCGAGAAGTACAGCGGGAGGGCCAGTTTCAGGGATGTGTGAGAGGAGATGATCTAATTCCTCCAAGAAGTCCCCCAAGGCGCCTGGTGGACGGTAGAGAACAACAATGGTTAACTGTATAGGATGGGTTACTGTGACGGCATGGAACTCAAAGGTGGAAGGAGTGAAGTTAGGTAGCTTGAAGAGGGAAAAGCTCCATTTGGGAGAGAGCAGGAGACCAGTGCCACCTCCTCTGCCAGTGGGTCTGGGTGTATGGGAGAAGGAATATGCTGTGGAGAGAGCTGCTGGGGTGGATGTGTTGGATGGAGTAATCCAGGTCTCAGTGAGAGCAAGGAAATCCAGAGACTGCAGGATTTCTCTACATTCTGCTTCCCTGTATTCAAACTGCTGACGCTGTTCTGTGATTGGCTCCCGCTCTCAGGGTTACCTAGGCGACGAGAAGGCGTTCATCGCCACGCAGGGCCCGATGGTGAACACGGTGAACGACTTCTGGCTGATGGCGTGGCAGGAGGAGGCGCCGGTCATCGTGATGATCACCAAACTGAAGGAGAAGAACGAGGTGAGTGGACGAGGGTTTCAATAAAGCTTTATAACTTCAAATAAAAAACCTATATGGTCGATGCTGAAGTTAATGTAAACTCACAATGTTTCTTTATTTTTTTGCCATTTTTAAAAATATTTTTCCAACGGTTTGATCGAACATTTTAACTCGTATTTTATGCAGAAGTTGTGGACAGTTTATAACATTTTTGAACATTTGTATGCATTTTCTGCAATAACTTATCGATTTGTTCTGATTCTTTTAAAGAAATGTTTTGCTACTTTTTCTCGATATTTAACTCGTAATTTTGTGGATAATTTATATCATTTTGTTTGGATATTTATCCAAAGATTCCTGACATTTTCTGTATATTTTTTCAGACATTTTGCTCACAGACGAATACAATAAAATAGTGTGTGTGTGTGTGTGTGTGTGTGTGTGTGTGTGTGTGTGTGTGTGTGTGTGTGTGTGTGTGTGTGTGTGTGTGTGTGTGTGTGTGTGTGTGTGTGTGTGTGTGTGTGTGTGTGTGTGTGTGTGTGTGTGTGTGTGTCTGCAGAAGTGTGTCCTGTACTGGCCGGAGAAGAGGGGGATCTATGGGAAGGTGGAGGTGCTGGTGAACAGCGTCAGAGAGTGTGAACACTACACAACCCGCAGCCTCACACTCAAGGTACACACACACACACACACACACACACACACACACACACACACACACACACACACACACACACACACACACACACACACACACACACACACACACACACACACACACACACACACACACACACACTTATATTTCTGTTATAAAAAGGGGAAGGGTTGAACTGTGAAGCCTATTCCTAGTATACATTTTAAAACAGTTCTTCAGACATCGTTCGTGTTTCTGGGGGATTTTTTCCAACATTTTAATAATCTTTTTTTAAAACATTTTGTGGACCATTTATATAATTTTCCTCCAAACATTTTCACTTTTTTTGTTGTTGACATTTTACAATTTGAATCCATTTTTCTGGATTCTTTTTGTTAGATGTTTCACTCACGCTTACAGGTTACTGTCTTGTTGCAGATAAAGAGTCTCTGTGTTTCTTCGTCTGGTGTGTGCAGAGCGGGAATCAGACCCGGGACCTGCAGCACTTCTGGTACACGTCGTGGCCTGACCACAAGACGCCCGACTCCACGCTGCCGCTGCTGCAGCTGATGGGAGACGTGGAGGACCGGAGGGCGGCAGCCATCTTGGGACCCGTCATCGTGCACTGCAGGTACAGAGAGAAAAAACATGGATGCAGAGAGGGTAAAAGTAGAAGTACACACATCCTTTACTCAAGTAGAAGTACACACATCCTTTACTCAAGTAGAAGTACACACATCCTTTACTCAAGTAGAAGTACACACATCCTTTACTCAAGTAGAAGTACAGATACTCCTGTTTAAAAATACTCTGGTGAAAGTAGAAGTACTGACTAAACTTCTTTACTCAAGTCAAAGTAAAGAGGCTTTGAAATGTACTTCAGTAAAAAGTACCCATAACTAGCAGCTGCTTTAAAGAGTACCTGACCTCCCTTTATATTAATAGAACAATAATGTCATTGTTAGCTAATGAATGTTTCCATGCTGAACAACGGCAACATGACAACGTTTCCATTGGTCCCTCTTCTTTAGAGAAGACCAGGAAATGATGGATACACGGATCGTGTTCAAATCAATAGGCACGCAATGACTCTAAAGAATAATGATCACGCATCAAACACACATTCAGACTAAAGGAACCAGCTGTTTGGAAAATGAGAAGTAGAAAGTACAGGTATTTGAGTTCAACATGTAAGAAGTAGAAAGTACAGGTATTTGAGTTCAACATGTGAGAAGTAGAAAGTACAGGTATTTGAGTTCAACATGTAGAAGTAGAAAGTACAGGTATTTGAGTTCAACATGTGAGAAGTAGAAAGTACAGGTATTTGAGTTCAACATGTAAGAAGTAGAAAGTACAAGTATTTGAGTTCAACATGTGAGAAGTAGAAAGTACAAGTATTTGAGTTCAACATGTGAGAAGTAGAAAGTACAGGTATTTGAGTTCAACATGTAAGAAGTAGAAAGTACAGGTATTTGAGTTCAACATGTAAGAAGTAGAAAGTACAGGTATTTGAGTTCAACATGTAGAAAGTAGAAAGTACAGGTATTTGGGTTCAACATGTAAGAAGTAGAAAGTACAGGTATTTGAGTTCAACATGTAAGAAGTAGAAAGTACAGGTATTTGAGTTCACATGTAAGAAGTAGAAGTAACAGGTATTTGGGTTCAAACATGTAAGAGAGTAGAAAGTACAGGTATTTGAGTTCAACATGTAGAAGTAGAAAGTACCGGTATTTGAGTTCAACACGTAAGAAGTAGAAGTACAGGTATTTGAGTTCAACATGTGAGAAGTAGAAAGTACAGGGATTTGAGTTCAACATGTGAGAAGTAGAAAGTACAGGTATTTGAGTTCAAACATGTAAGAAGTAGAAGGAACAGGTATTTTAGTAGTTTCAACATTAAGAAGTAGAAAGTACAGGTATTTTGTGTTCAACATGTAAGAATAGAAAAGTAGCAGGTATTTGAGTTCAACATGTAAGAGTAGAAAGTACAGTATTTGAGTTCACATGTAGAGAGTAGAAAGTACAGGTATTTGTGTTCACATGGAAGAAGTAGAAAAGTACAGGTATTTGAGTTCAACATGTGAGGAAGTAGAAAGTACAGGTTTTGTGTTCAACATGGAAGAAGTAGAAAGTACAGGTATTGAGTTCACATGTAAGAAGTAGAAAGTACAGGTATTTGAGTTCAACATGTAAGAAGTAGAAAGTACAGGTATTTGAGTTCAACATGTAAGAAGTAGAAAGTACAGGTATTTGTGTTCAACATGGAAGAAGTAGAAAGTGCAGGTATTTGAGTTCAACATGTAAGAAGTAGAAAGTACAGGTATTTGAGTTCAACATGTAAGAAGTAGAAAGTACCAGGTATTTGAGTTCACAACATTAAGAAGTAGGAAAGTACAGTATTTGTGTTCACACATGGAAGAAGTAGAAAGTACAGGTATTTGAGTTCAAATGTAAGAAGTAGAAAGTACAGGTATTTGAGTTCAACATGTAAGAAGTAGAAAGTACAGGTATTTGAGTTCAACATGTAAGAAGTAGAAAGTACAGGTATTTGTGTTCAACATGTAAGAAGTAGAAGAAAGTACAGGTATTTGTAGTTCAACATGTAAGAAGTAGAAAGTACAGGTATTTGAGTTCAACATGTAAGAAGTAGAAAGTACAGGTATTGAGTTCAACATGTAAGAAGTAGAAAGTACAGGTATTTGAGTTCAACATGTAAGAAGTAGAAAGTACAGGTATTTGAGTTCAACATGTAAGAAGTAGAAAGTACAGGTATTTGAGTTCAACATGTAAGAAGTAGAAAGTACAGGTATTTGAGTTCAACATGTAAGAAGTAGAAAGTACAGGTATTTGTAGTTCAACATGTAAGAAGTAGAAAGTACAGGTATTTGTGTTCAACATGTAAGAAGTAGAAAGTACAGGTATTTGAGTTCAACATGTAAGAAGTAGAAAGTACAGGTATTTTGTCAACATGTAAGAAGTAGAAAGTAAGGTATTTTGTGTCAACATGTAAGAAGTAGAAAGTACAGGTATTTGAGTTCAACATGTAAGAAG